TCATAGGTCAATGCTCAATCACTGAGCCACACCGGCTTGGCACGCTTTTTTTCCCCCCTTCTTTATAGAAACTTTATTACTAGACATAAAAATAATAGAGAATAAATTCCATTTTCTTAGATTAGCAGAGATTAAGTTGTGATGTGGAACCATAGTTCAAAAATTAAAGTACAAATCATCCCTGATTATTTATCTATAGATACATGACAATCAGAGTGCCCTATGCAGTGCCTCCTGCACGCCCCCCACTGGGGATCAGGCCTGCAACCCAGGCATGTGCCCTTGACTGGAATCGAACCTGGGGCCCTTCAGTCCACAGGCTGATGCTCTATCCGCTGGGCCAAACCAGCTAGGGCTCTCTCTTTGATCTAAGACAGTGGTTCTCAACCTTGGCTGCACATTAGAATCACCTGGGAATCTTTTTGGAATGAGGCCCAGAAGTCAGGATTTTTAAAAAGATTCCCAGGCGATTCTAATGTGCAGCCAAGATTGAGAACCACTGATCTAAGAGGAGGTCAGCCTGGGTTCCTGCCACTGGTCTCCCAGGCACCCCCAGCTCCCTAGGCCTGGGGTCACCTCTCTCTTTGCAGGATCATTGCAGAGTGTGGTCACCCTCATGTGCCAGATGAGAACACTGAGGCTCAGAGAGGGCAGGACACTTACCTGAAGGCACACAGCTAACATGAAGCAGAATCAGGGCAGAAACCAGTGTCCTCCCCGGGAAGCCACGGCTGCCCCGAACGCCAGGCCGCGCCTCTGCGGACGGAGGAGGCGCCTCCTCGGTGCTCATTTGTGCCTACCATTTCCTGGGCAGGAGCTCAGGCTGGTCATACTCTGCTATGAATCTCAATTAGGGTTTTTGTTGCCTCTCTCTTTTTTATTTTTTTAGAAACCTTTCCTTTTTCCCGTTGGTTCTAAAGGAAGCATCTGTAAGGTGCATGCCCTCGAATGGCTTCTTCTAACCCAGGTGTGAGCTGGGCCTCCATTCTCCCCGCTCCCCGCTAGGCAGACTCAGGGTTCTCCTGAGAGCGGACCCACAGGTCTCCACGGCACTCCAGCTAGGAGAGTCAGGTGACAAGATAAACACAAGGAAGTGGTGGAACCCTGGGAAGTGGCAGAGCAGGTCTGTCACCTCCTTTTCCAAGCCTAGGGGGTGATCACATGAGAGACTGCGATGGTCACTCCTAGGTGGGCTTCTCAGGCCGTGCCCTGAGCCACGCTTTTTAAATTTCTTCCTTTATTTTTATTACCTTTTTAAAATTTGTTTATTTTATTTTTTGGTTAATCCTCACCCGAGGATACTTTTCCATTGATTTTTTGGAGCGAGTGGGAGGGAGAGGGAGAGACACAGAGAGAGAAACATCGATGTGAGAGAGACGCATCAATTGGTTGCCTCCCACATGCCCCCCGACCAGGGCGGGGAATCGAGCCCTGTAACCGAGGTACATGCCCTTGACTGGAATCGAACCCGGGACCCTGCAGTCCTCGGGCCAACGCTCTATCCACTGAGCCACACCGGCCAGGGCCCAAGCCATGCTTCGAGCTGCCCCTGACCAGGGCAGCAGGAGCCCCGGAGGGGCCTGACTCAGCAGGTGTAGGGAGAGACCAGGCCAGGTGCTGTGGGAGGCAAGTGGCGGCTGAGGGAGGGCCCTCGAAGCCCCTGGATGTTGGACCCTGGCAGATAAGGGTTAACTGGAGAGCCACCCTGAGATAAGGGGGCTCACAGTCCACCGCCACTCCTGTTCGCCGGGGAGATAAGGTCTCTTCTCACAGTTAGGGGTGTCCCTCCTCCGGAGGATTCCCATTTTCACATGCTCCCCATCAGGAGAGCAGGCTGCCTTGCACCTTCCACATGTTTCTAGCCCATTAGATGATTCTGTCAGAGAAGTGCGGTATCTTGTTCAAGGTCAGGCAGGGATGGGGAGCGGCTGAGATGCAAACCTAGATTCTGTTCCTCTAAGAGCTGCCCCTGCTGCCACGCTGGCACATGATGGGCCGTCCACAGTGAGGACTGGTCAGTTCTTCACACGTGTGTCCAGCAGCGATGAAAGGTGGGGCGCTGGTCAGGCCTCTCGGGGCAGCCTTTGGACGCATCCTGAGTGCCCTGAATTTCACGCTAACAGGGAATATGCTTGGGCACCTCTGGGAGCAGCGCTTAAAGGACCAGAGAGCAGCCCGGCCGGTGTGGCTCAGTGGTTGAGCGTCGACCTATGAACCAGGAGATCACGGTTAGATTCACGGTCAGGGCACATGCCCGGGTTGTGGGCTCGATCCCCAGTGTGGGGCCTGCAGGAGGCAGCCTGTCAATGTTCTCTTTCATCATTGAAGTTTCTATCTCTCTCTCCCTCTCTCTTACTCTCTGAAACCAATAAAAAAATATATATTTTTAAAGAAAAGGACCAGCCCTGGTCAGTTTTGCTCAGTGGATAGAGCATCGGCCTGCAGATTGAAGGGTCCCGGGTTCGATTCTGGTCAAGGGCACATGCCCGGGTTGCAGACTTGATCCCCAGTGGGGGGTGTGCAGAAGGCAGCCAATCAATGATTCTCTCTCATCATTGATGTTTCTCTCTCCCTCTCCTTTCCTCTCTGAAATCAATAAAAATATATTTTTTATAAAAAAGGCCAGAGGACAGCCTCTCTGGTCCAGGCTCCGGGGCCGTCAAGCAGATCTTGGGGTTGGTCAGACCCACAGAGGACACACAGCTGGGAGGGACCGTTCATAGGTCCGATGACAGAATTGGCCAGAATCTGTATCTCACAGACCCTTTAAACTAGGGATGAAATTAAGCTGACGGCAACAAGATGAAATCGGATCGGGGTGGAGCCAGAAAACCACCTCGCCACATCGGGGTGAAGGCTTAGCGGCAGGCCGGCTGAGAAGGACTTGGGGGTTCCGCTGACTCTGAGTCCCCCCTGAGTGAAGGGGGTGACCATTGCCAAGAAGGTCCGTGGGCTTTCCTGGAGAAGGGCAGGCAGCACCTGGCGCCGTGCTCAGCTCTGGGCCACACGAAGGAAGAGGGGCTCCGGGAGACCGGAAAGCATCCAAGAGGAAGTTATGTGGGTGCACTTGAACCCGAGCTGTGAGGAATGGCGGAAGGACCCACGGAGGGGCAGCACTGGGCAGAGGAGGGGACTCGGGGGGGGGGGGGGGC